TTTAGAAGAGCACTTGACGGCTGTGACCAGGAGGATTTTTCATCAGGTTCGCCTGATTCGCCAGCTGCGTCCCTTTCTAGATCGGGACTCGCTACGCACAGTCACTCATGCCCTCGTCACCTCTCGTCTGGACTATTGTAACACTCTCTACATGGGGCTCCCCTTGAGGTGCACCTGGAGGCTCCAACTGGCGCAGAGTGCGGCCGCGCAGGTGGTTATGGGAGCGGCGTGGAGCTCCCATGTAACACCTCTCCTGCGCGAGCTGCACTGGCTCCCGGTGGTCTTCCGGGTGTGCTTCAAGGTTCTGGTTATCATCTTTAAAGCGCTCCATAGCTTAGGACCTGGTTACTTACGGGACCGCCTACTACCATCAATAGCCTCCCACCGACCAGTACGCTCCCACAGAGAGGGCCTCCTCCAGGTGCCGTCGGCCAAACAATGTCGGCTGTCGGCCCCTAGGGGGAGAGCCTTCTCTGTGGGGGCGCCGACGATCTGGAACGAGCTCCCCCCAGAGATACGGAGGATTCCGGATCTGCACACCTTCCGCCGTGAGCTGAAGACTTTTATTTTATCAAGCTGGCCTCGCCTAAATTTTTCTCCCTTTTAAGTGCAAATTTTAAATTTTAATGTGTTTTAAAATATGGGTATTTTAAATTATGGGTATTAATTCAGCCAAATTTATTTAATTCATTTTATTCGATTTTAAATTTTGTATATGTATGTGTTTTATTTCATGGCTGTTCACCGCCCTGAGTCCTTCGGGAGTAGGGTGGTATAGAAATTCAATAAAATAAATAAATAAATAAAATTTGAGTGTGCAAGATGAGTAAATTAACATATGAGATTAATGATGATGATAATTCGGAATATTATACGGTGTGGGAAAGGTGGTATAAATGGAGGGAAGATAAAATAAAAGAAGGAATAAATAGTGCAACTACTAAAAGGAATAAGTAACTTAAGAGACATCATATATGTAACCTGTATATATGTACGTTTGAACACTGCTTAACCGATATAAGTTGAGTTGTAAAACTATGTAACTCAATAAAAAATTGGAAAAAAAAAAGATGCTTTGGAGTATAAGACGCACCTTAGTTTTGGGGGAGGAAAATAAGAAAAAAACACTCTGCCTCTGCCTACCAGCATCCATCGGTATTCATCTGGCTAGCATCCTGTTAGTGTGTGTGAGAGTTGAGGGCTGTTTGGAAACTTCCTTGTTGCTGTGTGAGCAACAAGGAAGGAGACAGCAAGGAGCCTGGCCATGGCTTAGCTCTGCAGCTCTGAGTCTGTGCTGAGCTCTAAACTAGTCTGCTGCTCAAAATTGAAACTGAAATGCCTCTCCTCTGCTTGTATTTTGCTTGTATTTACTACCACGTTGGAAAACCTGCTTTTGGTATTGTATATTTACTTCATGTTTAGGGTTAGGGTTCTGTCCTCCCTTGTCCTCTTTGCCCATGTGGACATCAGTTGGCTGCTCAGGTAATGGCCATCCTTGTTGCTAGTCTGATTTTGGTGAGCCTAGGTGATTCCGGTCCAGGTGTGTTTGCACCTTGGCATCCCAGCAGAGCCAACAGCCCCCCTTGTCCTGCTCTTTGTGCTCCCAACTGACCTTTGGAGGAGTCATGGAGTGGAGGGAACTCGTTCCCTGCATTTCCGGCATTCAGAGCAGAGTTTTCCTCTTTAGGTAGCCAGGATGGCAGTTTCCAACCACACCAGGTAGTGCCCAGCCACTTTGGCAGAGCTCCAGGGCCTTGGAGGTAAAGAAGACAAGGCAGACTCAGCAGTGGGTTGGCTAGAAAGGGGCAGACTTGGGAACTGGGTGGTTTCTCCAAAGATGATTGGAGAACTCTGGCGCAAAGATAAATACACCTCTATCTTGGCGGTTAACCTTTCAGATGCTACTTTTTAATGCTCCGGCTTGATCAGGAGCCCTCATGTCCTGGTCACGTCATGGCTTTATTGCAAGATGCTCTACGTGGGTCTGCCCTTGAAGACTACCCAGAAATTCCCACCAGAACGCAGCGGTACAACATGGATTGCACTGTTGGCAGTTTGTTTCCGGGTGCAATTCAAGGTCGTTACCTGTGAAACCTTCCTGGCATAGGGCCTGCTGGTCCAATCTGGCCAGGTTGGCATGCTCCAGGTTCCTCCAATTAAACACAGCCGTGGAAGCTTGCCTTCTTTGCCACAGGGCCTGGCTTCTCCAACGAGGCTTCCCCTGAGATGGGGTGCGCCCTCCCCCCTGCTGTTGTGTTATAGGCATTCGAAGACCCTCCTAGGCCTTTAGCAAGAGTGAGCAAAGCCCCTTTGGATTGTGAGTTTCTGTCTCTCTTTCTCATTCCTGCCAAGTTTCTGTTAGAGCCACCCAGGTAGTTAAGAGTGGGGTGGCCTACACACTTTTAAAAAGATTTGCGATGGAGTCAGTATGCTTGTGCAGGATGATTCAACGCTGGAGGAGTAATTGTTAACAGCTCTACAGAAGTGGGGATTTCGGGAGGGGTGATCAAGCGAGATTTAGAGCAAGAAAAGACTCTTTGAAGAAGCCCCTGCGCCCATTGGCTGCAACGTCCTGCTGGGTGCAAGAACCTCTCCCCCACCTTTTTTTTTCTCTGATGGTAGGGGCTGCATTTCATCCAGGGGTGCTGCATTTGCCCAGCCAGGCATGGCCACGTCAGTCTCTTGTTTCAAAAAGCAGGGGCTGCCTCCATGGAGCATTCCATGAAGAGGACCCGCTGTGTCCGTCTGGCATCCCGTAGCCTCAGAGGGCAGGGAACCTGCCACAGGGCCTCTCTTGGCGACCAGGCTGGTGAAGCAGCTTTGCGATGCTTAGGGAGGCTTGATTGGCAGTTTGATTGCCTAGAGCAGCCAAAGATGATACAACACGGCCCCAAATTGTTTCTAAGGGTGACTGAGACAATCCTAAACCAAGTTCTACTCATTTAACGTACAATCAGTTGTGATTATCCTGACTCCCTTCCCTTCTGTGGCCTAGTTGAAATTTCACTCTATTATGTTCGGCCTATTTGTCTTTCAAGCTGTTAGAAGATCAACAGCATTTCTTTTCTTCCTCCAGTCACCCAGTATTTCTCCACTTTCTCAGACAATACTTAACGGTCTCAACCAGAGCATCAAGAGGCCGCCTTTGCTCAGTCTCATTCCTTCTTCTGCCTTTCTGCTCGGTCTTTTGGGAGAAAAAGGCTGAACTGAAATAGGAGTGGAGGAGTTGCTCTTTTTCCTCCCTGCTGGCCAGAATTTGGCCACATCCACCGAGCAACTGGTCCAGGGCTCTTGATCTTTCATCCTGGGCTTTCTAGACCCAGGAAACTATTTGTGTCCTTTGCATCCGTGGCTGCCTTCTGACCACTTTGCTTTTGCTTTCAGGTTGTTGGTAAACCCTTCGTGTCACTTCCTTAGATTCCTTCCTCCCAACTGTCTGCAAGCCTCCTTTGAGCCATCTCCTTTTTTAGCTGCTCAGACTATTTCCCAAAAGCTACTCCTGGTGGTGGTTGTTATTGTTTTTGTTGTTGTTACTGTTCTTACCATTGTAGCATTTTCTGTGAATTCCTATTGGATAGTTTATAGTTGAGTGTATAGAAAAATGTAAACAATTCAGCACTCAAATGAGTTGGAGGATTGCAGAATGCCAGGCATCTGCTCCCCCTCTTGTTTTTGAAGCTGATAGTATTTTTATGCCCCATCCACAAGTTCTAGAAAACATATTATTTATTTTGCACTTAAGATATTCTTAGCCTTGCCTCAATTCAAGCTCTGTGCCAAGGAAAGGCAGATTTTGTGTCATGAAATAAATTATCCAAATTGTGCTAATCTGCATACTTTCTTTCCTGCATAGTTTAATCTTGCTAATTGGGAAGAGGCAGAGGCTTGCAAAGCAGCACCAATCGACCCTTCCCTGGTTTTGGAGCCCCCCCCCTCCACAGCCCCCCTTCATGCGGAATAGGGAAGGGAAGGCGTAGGGGCCTTGGCAAGTTCTTGGCTGGGTCAGTCACTTGGCCCAGAGCAGGAATTTGAGAGACTCCTCAACAAAAAAAGTTGAAAATCTGAACAGACTATAAACTGATATTGATTTATTTCCTCTGGTATGGAATTACTGAGCTAACCAAATCTGTATTTAAATACACTTACATACTGTACATACCGTCAAATAAAGCATAATGCGCTAATGCAACTCTAAGGAGTGTATTTGTTGAAACACATGGGTGTCCTAAAAAAATGAGTTTCTTTAGCCCCCTCCCCCATTTCATAGATTCTTGTAGCATTGCAACTTTTAATTGGAAGTTCAAGAGCACTTTTCACCCATTTGTACCCAGCCCCTTGGTATCCCTAACTCTCCTGTCTCCAGAATGGGGTGATATGATTTTCTGCCATTTTGAGGGAGGAGACATGAAAACTGTAGCACAAACATTACAATGTTGGAGGCCAGCCTTGGGCTTCAAACAAAGGGTGTGTGTGGTCTGTTGAAAGGAACTGGGGGGTGGGGAACTATGAGATAAGCCCCTCCCACACTGGGCTGCCTAGTGGTGTCCAGAGGTCCAGAGAGGTCCCTGGAGACCAGGGCGCCTGGTCAGGACGCCCAACATCTGATGCTGGGAAAAGCCTGAAGTGGGATCCCCCCCTTCAACAGGCCAAGGGACCCCCCTCTTTGCTTGAAGCCCGAGTTGGTTATTACAGCCCTGGAAGCAGCAAAGAGAACCCAAAAAGAGTCAATCAAGGACCAGCAGCACCTGCTTCCTCTGCCTCACATTTTCTGCCTGGGAACCGGAGAGGCTTTGTTGCTCTTGAAGCTGTGACAGGGGACGAGCATTTAATGATTTACTTACCTGAAAAGAGGAGAGGACTTACTTTAAAGCTCCTCACCTAGTGCTCCCCTGCTCCTTGAGCCCCCCCCCTCCCCCCTCCCCCGGCAGTTGCATCTTGGAATGGGCTGCAACGGAAGGCCTAGCAGCAGCACCGGCTGATCTCCCTCTCTTTGCCTACAGATGCTGCAGCTGCCTTGTGCCAAGGGCAGGATGCCCTTCTTGGCCCTCTGGCACCTCTTCCGCCACCCCGCTGCCTTCCTGAGCACCCCACGGGTAGAATACAAGCCAATCCAGAAGGTGATGGTAGCTAACCGAGGTGAGCAGGGCTTGGGAAGTGGGATAACTGGGAGCTGCTTCTGCCCCCCCACCCAACTGCTTGGCCGGGCTGTTTTTTCAGAGGCATTTTTAGAAGGAGCCATTTTATCGGCCTGGAACCAATGGTAGACAAACACTGTTAAATAATCTGAGTGGCCAATTTGGGTTTCTTTGACCCTGATCCCAAATGCTTTCCTAAAAACCGATAGCATGTCATCCTGACATTGTGCTCTTGTGATCTTAACGCTTATGAATTCCAGGGGAGATCGCAATCCGGGTCTTCCGAGCCTGCACGGAGCTGGGCATCCGGACAGTGGCGGTTTATTCTGAGCAGGACACGGGGCAGATGCATCGACAGAAGGCGGATGAGGCGTATCTGATTGGTCGCGGCCTCCCCCCAGTTCAGGCCTATCTGCACATTCCAGACATCATCAAAGTCGCCAAGGTGAGAAGGCAAAAAGGCCCCTTTGCTCTGACCTGGGTGGCCAAAGACAAGCAGGTATTCCCATAGCATACCCACAAAGACCAAAGCAGTCAGGGGAAGCCGTCCTTCGCTTTGGGGTCAGCGTGCTGAAATCATAGATTGGTATGATAGTTATTTGTATGTCTTGACCTCAGACTGGCAAAGCGATGCCTGGATCAATCCTTGCAAGACTTCCTGGATCTTCTTTCGGGGAGACTTCCGAGATTTGGTCCGAGATGGGGTTGCACTTCCTTATTTGGGGCTGCTGCGCATCCAGAGCTCTCCTGGACTCTCCGCTACTCCTTGAGGGGCAGGTGGCAGCTGCAGCCAGGAAGGCCTTTGCAGAGATCAATTCTGTGTGGTCAGTTCTGCCTGATACTGCACTGGATCTCTCACACCTCAGTCACCTTGCATTTAGACTATTGCAGTGATACGGGGCTACCCTTGAAGGCTACACCAAAGGTGTTGTTGGTCCAGAACATGGCAGGGTGATCAGTTCTGGGCAGGTCTCATCATGGCCTCTGCTTCCCAAGGTTGGCTCCCAAAAGCTTCTGGGTGCAGTTCCAAATATTGCTTATCAGCCACCAACACCTACCTGGCTCAGGGCCTCGTTATCTGAGGAAGCGCCAAATTCTTAATAAACAAAGGGCAAAGATCCAAACGCCACTAACATCTTGAAGTCTTGTTGACCTAGAGTCAAGTTGGAAGGGATCTTGGAGATCATATAGTCCAATCTCTTTCCCTCCATCTTCAAACTGCTTGGAAGCTTCTCGGTAGAGAACCTATCAGTGGTGGGTTGCCCCTGGTTCGCAACAGTTCTATAGAACCATTAGTAAAACCGGCAGGAGGCTCCGCCCACTGACCCCAACGTCATCAGAACGCTTCTGCGCATGCGAGAAGTGAGCGCGTGAGCGTGGCCCCATTGTGAACCGGTAGTAAAGGTAAGTAGAACCCACCCCTGGAACCTATGAATTGTTGGCCAAGGTGCCAACGAGGCCCAATGTTTCTGTGTCTACTGATTTTGATGGCAAAGGATTGTAGCCATTTATTCCTTGTAAAAAGGGAGTTATGTGGATGTAAAAGATTTATACGAGAAGCAGTCCTCTTGTCACTGCAGATTTCTGCTAACATGAAGGAATTTAACTCAAGTTAAAAAAAAAGATAAGAGACAGGCAAGCAGTATAGAAACATATATATATCAAAACAGATAGCAAATTATAGGCCGATTTCTTTGTTAAATTCAGATTACAAATTATTTACAAGTATAATTGCGGAAAGATTAAAAAAAATTCTAAATGGCTGGATTCACAATGATCAGAAAGGATTCCTCCCAGGGAGTCAAATGAGGGATAACGTGAGGACTGTAATAAATGTCATAGAATATTATGAACAGCACCTGGAAAAACAGCTGGCGTTAGTGTTCTTGGACGCCCAAAAGGCGTTCAACAACTTAAATTGGAAATTTATGATCAACCAAATTGATTTAATGGGATTTGGGACAAATTTTAGAAAGATGATTGAAAATATTTACCATAAACAGAGGGCAAGCATTTTAATAAATGGGGACAAGACGCGGATATTTTGGATACAAAAGGGAGTTAGACAGGGATGCCCCCTGTCCCCTCTACTCTTTATAATAGCGCTGGAAATCCTACTCAGAAAGATCAGAGATAACAAAGAAATCAAAGGACTACAAATTAAGAAAGAAATTTTAAAAACACAAGCCTTTGCAGATGACGTGGCCTTAATAATGGAAGATCCCTTGAAATCTGGCCCCAAATTACTCCAGGAAGTACAACAGTATGGAGAAGCCGCTGGCTTCAAGCTTAACAAAACTAAAACTAAAATTTTAGCAAGAAATATGACAGAGACAAACAAGAAAGAGCTAGAAAAATCCTTAGAACTTCAGATAGCAAAGAAAATAAAATATTTGGGAATATGGATTACTGCAAGATATTCCTCTTTAAAGGAGGATAACTACAGTCCACTACTACAAAAAATAAAGCAGGATATAGACAGATGGAAGAAGTTAAAACTGTCCTTTACAGGTAAGATCTCAGCAATTAAAATGAATATTCTCCCCAAGATTATATTTTTATTTCAAATTATTCCAGTGAACATTGATAAAAAATATTTCCTAGATCTGGAAAAGAAGGTGCGAGAATTTTTGTGGGAAGGGAAGAAGGCAAGGATTGCATATAAAACACTGCAAGGGAAAAGAAGCATGGGTGGCTTCGGATTACCCGATTGGGAAGCATATCAGAAGGCGGCCAAATTAGTATGGATCAAAGAATGGGTTACATTACAAAACAAGAGAATTTTGACGTTAGAAGGCCACGATCTACAGGCAGGCTGGCACGCTTATTTATGGGGCCTAAAGAATAAAAAGAACTCATATTTCCACAAACACAAATTAAGGGAGACCCTGATTCAAACATGGGAAGAAATTAGACAAAGATTTTACACGAAAGTACCGATCTGGCTCTCAATTATGGAGGCTTTGACTGCCTCTAATAAAAGGGATATCTTGAAATTCGGCATGTACAAAAGATATATTAGATGATAATGGTATTCTTAAATCACGAGAAATATTAAGTAATCAAGATTTCAACTTAGATTGGTGGAGCTACCTGCAGATAAGCTCTAGATATCAAAAAGATAGGGATCAATTTGGTATAGAGACGAAGTATAACAATTTGGATAAAATTATGTTGGGGATTGAAAAGAAAATGCTAGCGAGATTTTACAACCTCTTATTAGGCGAGGACAGAGCAGAAGGAATAGCTAGGAATCAACTAAGCATTTGGGAAAAAAATATTGGCTATAGACTAAATTTCAATGACTGGGAGGAGACTTGGAATAGGAATTATAATCTGACTAAATCAGCAATTTACAGGGAGAACCACTATAAAATATTTTATAGATGGTATCTAGCCTAAGGTGACCAGATTTTAACATTGGTAAAGAGGGACATTGTGGGCGTGGCTTATTTTGTGGGCGTGGCTAGCTGGTCATGTGACGGTGGGCGTGGCTAGCTGGTCATGTGACCGGGTGGCCATGGCTATGTCTATAGGGTAAGGTGAACAGATTTTAACATTGGTAAGAAGGACACCATTGTGGGCGTGGCTTATTGTGTGGGCGTGGCTTGGAGGCCATGTGACTGGGTGGGCGTGGCTACCTGGTCATGTGACCGGGTGGCCATGGCTATGTGTATAGGGACTACTCAGAGGGCTGAAAAGTCATTTCTGACAGGTCCTCACACTTTTGACTGGTCCTCACACTTATGACCATCCTCACATTTATGCCCGTGCAGCATTCTTAACAACCATGTCACTCATTTCACAACTGCTTCTCTTCAACATGGTGACAAGATAGCGCAAAAAACGTAAAATGTGAGGACAGTCGTAAGTTCGAGGACTGGTCAAAAGTGCGAGGACCAGTCAAAAATAACTTTTTCAGCCCTCTGAGTAGTCCATATGCATTAAAGGATTACAGCAATAGAGAGGGATGAAGGAATGGAAATTAGAGTAGGAGTGAGGGTAAGAGAGGGAGGAAGAGAGGAGGAGAAGGAGAAAGAAAGAGGAAGTAGGGAGGAGAAAAAGAGGGTGGGGGGAAGAGAAAGTAAGAAGGAAAGAAAAGAGAGAGGTGGTAGGTTTGAGGAGAAAGATTGCTGTACAATAAAAAAGATGAAAGGGAAAAAAGCCAACCCCAAGCAAATATAAAGATATTAAGATAAAGAATGAATTGTTAAACTTTAAAGAATAAAAGAGAACAAATATGAATAAATAGCAATAATTAGAAACACACATACAAACATACAATGTATTTTCTTTGAACAGAATATTTGGCTGGTTCACAAATTTAAACAGCGTTTAGTCATTTCAATTAAATTTACAATTTCTATATTTCCTTTTTGCCATATTTATTCCTCATCTATTTTTTAAAAAAACCAATATTACCCTTCATCCTCATCTCTAATCTTAATCAAATTCAATTTTTCCCTTCTATTCTATATAATACCCCTTCCCATTGTCATCTATTTTTATATCCATCCTCACATTGTTTAATTATGTAATTATGTAATACAGTTGTTTAATACAAATTCAACATTTTAATATAAATCAATTAGTTATAAAACTATCTTTTTTGTATATTAATCAATATGAACATGAATATTCCAATTATTTCCATGCAATCCAATTTCTTACAAATCAATTAATTATATTTACCAATAATAATAAACCAAATAATTTCTCCCATATATTCCTCCGAACCACAACTTAACCATTTCTGCTTTCAACACAATATACAATTAATAGTATCTCAATTATTACAATTCCCTAGTTAAATACAGCTTTTTTTCCTTTGTGTTTTAAAATCTTGAACTCTCCTCCTAAATTTCCCATTGTTTGCAGTTTTTCACCTACCTTTTTTGGGGAGGAAAAATAAAAATAAAAATAAATCTCTCTCTGCCTCATTTTGTCACGCTGCACCAAAGACCCTGGTTTCGGTTTCGTTTCTGAAGCTTAGCTAGGGGGAAAAAAAACTGCTTTACACTGATTGCCTGTAGGGCGGCCCTTTGAAGCCCCGGGCAAGAGTTTAAACAGTTTTTTTTTCTTCTAGCCATCAGCTGGGGCTCAAGAAAAATCAGGACTTTTTTGAAACGCCGCGGGACGCGGGACAAATTGCTCAAAAGCGGGACTGTCCCGCCAAAAGCGGGACGTCTGGTCACCTTAATCTAGCCCCAGCTAGACTAGCAAAAATATTTCCCAGTGCCTCAGCGATATGTTGGAAGTGTGGAAAGGAGGTTGGCACCTTCTTTCATATGTGGTGGTCCTGCCCGGAGACAAAAAAGTTTTGGACAAAAATATGAATTTGGCTACGAGAAATAGTGGAAGAAGATATAAAAATTTCCCCCGAAATCTTCCTATTAGGAAGATTAGGAAGATTAGAAATCTTCCTATTAGGAAGATTTGCAAAATACTGGAAGGACAAACAAACCCCTCCAGAGATGACAATAATTAATAAAATCTTAGAATGTGCAGAAATGGCAAAATTAACAAGTGTTCTTAAAGACGATGAGAATTCAAAATTTAAGGCAGTATGGGAAAGGTGGTACAAATGGTGGAATAATAGAACGAGACTATAAGGATATGTCTATTTCTAATAATGGTAGATTTGAAGATACTTGATATGTACATAATGTAAATATGTAACCGCACGACACCTCAGATGTTAATGGAGATTTGATGTTTTCTTTTTCAAAATTTTTTTTTAAAATCAATAAAGTATTATTAAAAAAAAAAAAGAGAGACAGGCAAGCAGTAGGCCTATTTGGGATTAAAGGCTGAGCTAAAATTGACCAATCAAATTTATCCCACGTGTCCAAACGTGAGCGCCCACTGACTACACTTTCCCTGTACCTAACTGTTTCTGCAGGTCACAGTGGGTCACAGTGGGAATCGGATGCAAAGGATCTTGCTCGCCCTTAAAAAGACAAGCTGCTTTCCAGATTATTTTCTCTCGTTCTGTTACAGGCTGACTACTGGGAGAAACATTTCTAATCCAGTTGGCCTCGGTCTCCTCCCCAAACAGCTCATTTTGCATCTCGTGGGTGCAAACGGACCAGTTTCGTTGCCCAACAGCTGCACAGGCAGGAGGGAGCTCCGGCTCCTTGGGGGTTTCTCAAGGGACTGTCTGTCTCTTCTAGAAAAAGCCTGAGCAGACTTTGCTTTTCCACTCCACCGATGGCTTTTGGTGGAGCGTTTGGTCTGTATTTGGGACAGACCGATGTCCTCCTTCTAAATCCTCTCTGGAGAATTGGGGGCCATTCTGGGATGGGCTGGAGCGGGGGGGGGGTCTGCAAAGGGAAAGAGTGAGCCCTGTTGCGCAAGCAGACACAGTTGACACAAAAGATCTTGGATTTAAGATGTTGAAAATTTTAAATATGTGGCTCTGCACAAAGATTTTCAGCATAAAGTTAAGTTTTAATTCCGCAAATGTTTAAGCCAGTGTTGCAGGTGGTGTTTTTGTATATATTTTTGATCTGTTAGACACATTTGCAGGAGACAAATAGCATATGGGCTTTCTAAAGAGCCTGTCCAGTTTAGAAACCTCAGGGATGCTTTGCCTGAGAGAGCAAAGATTTTCAATGTTTCCTGCTTTTTTCAGGAGAATGCAGTGGATGCGATCCATCCCGGCTACGGCTTCCTCTCTGAGCGAGCTGATTTCGCCAAGGCCTGCCTGGAAGCTGGGGTGTGCTTCATTGGGCCCTCTCCTGAAGTGGTGCGCAAGATGGGGGACAAGGTGGAGGCCCGCGCCATTGCTATTTCTGCTGGTAAGAACGTTTGCCTCACAAGCACACCGTTCTATGGTGATCGAACTCTGCTTGGCCAGCTCCCCAAGAGGCCCAGAGAGATGGCTTATTGCAGTCCATCGGATAAGACAGTAAAACGGTTGCTTGTTTCAGTTTCAGCCCTGGGAAACGGCTTCTCCTGTTCAGAAGTCCAGGAGCCCTTTCCAAATAATCAAGAATTCTACTTTGCCTGCTCAAGAGAGAAAAGCCTCTTTCCCTTTGGATTGAACCACTGCGGAAACAAAACAGAATTTTCCTGCCTTCTTACATGCAACTTAAGCTTCTTTCTTACTTGGTGTTCTGAGGGACCAGCTTTATAGTCCAGGTGGATACAAGAGAGCTTCAACAAGCAGGCAGATACTGATATTAGCTAATTCTCTATGTTCCATGAAACTTGCAGTCTTAAATCCTAGAAATTAATGATTGGAAGGGACCAAGAGATGTAGGAACCCACTCAGTCTCTGTTCAATGCCTCCAGTAAGGGCATTCCAGCAATTCCTCTGAGGCATCTGTTGCACTTTGCTTGTATATATTTTTGTTTCCTGGTCTGTTCTTCAGAGCAAGGATTCTGCCCTGTGTTGTACATGACAGACCTGTAGATCCTCAAAGGCAGCTGTCGCTTCTCCAGTCCCCTCCTCATCTTGGTTTCTTTCTTCCAGACCTGTCTTTCCTGAACAGCTGGATGCATTGTGGCCTGAGATACTCAGAACAGAGGGTGGGGGGATGATTGTGCTATCCACCCATTGTTGCTGCCTCATCAACAAATTTTCCTTTCCACCCCCTCATTCCAGTCATGTATAAATATCTTGAACTGCACAGGGCCAAGGAAGGACCCCTGCGGGATTCCCCTTGGGAATTTTGACACAGAGGCTGAAGGACAATCTATGTCTTGTCACCTTCTCTGAATCTTGCAGGGAACTTTGCAGTTGCTTTGGGAGAATCAGGTTAATGATGCACTTTTATTTCCATGGTCAGCGATACTAGTTGCCCTATTAAAACGGAACTCAGGTTGTTTTGACATGGTTTACTCTTGATGCACCCAAAATAAGGAACAAAGGGGGCCATAGGGGGCCAGAAATACGTTGAAATTTTATCCCCTTTCCAGAAGAACGCTGGGGTGGTGGTGGTGGTGGTGGTGGTGGGGAGAGTATTCCCTGAAGTGGGGGCTATTGATGAGCCGTGGTGGCGCAGTGGTTTGAATGCAGTACTGCAGGCTAATTTTGCTGACTGCCGGCAGTTCAATTCTCCTCGCTTCTGAGGTTGACTCAGCCTTCAGTCCTTCTGAGGCCAGTAAAATGAGGACCCACATTGTTGGGGGCAACAGTCTGACTCTGTAAACCTTTTAGAGAGGGCTGTAAAGCCTTGTGGAGTGGTATATAAGTCTGAGCACGATTGCTATTGCTATTGCAGTGCTCTGCAGCACTGGAACATACAGCCATGCCTCCTTTTTGAAATATCTGCAACCTGCCTGCTGCATTATCCGACTTTTGCCCAGTATCAACCTCAAGCTGATCGTCTTGCAGACAACTGTCTGTCTGTCTGCTTATATGGGAGGCTAAAGCCAATATTGCAGCAAGGTCACAGTCCTGACCGGCTTTCAGGTGTAATTGGTCTCAAACATGAAATAATCTCCCTTTAAAAACTGAAACAGGTGCTCTAGCTATTCAGGTCACCTACCATCTTCTAGCCATCTCTCTTCTTATCCACCTTTCCTGGTAGCCTCTTCTACCTGTCTACCTTACTTTTGTTGGCTATTAACTTTTTTTTTTGAAAAATATTTTTTTATTTTTTAAAAACATAAACATAAAATACATCTTTTAAGAACGAAGTCTTGACCCGGTCATGAATAGGTACATTTGCTTAAAACTCTTTAACAACTCTTTGCTGAATTTCCTCAATTACATCTTTTAACATAAAAATCAAAAACACAAAATTTTTAACAAATATTCTAACATCTTAATCTAAGTATTTACCTTATTATTTTATCACCACAAATCTTAATTTCCAAATAAACACAACTCTATTTTTATTTCCATTTATAAATTAAATTTCTATCTATCCTCTTTCATCCCTACACCCATTTCATCAAGTCTTTAAATCTTAAACTCTATTAACTTACACCTAATTTTCTTAAACTTATCATCTATTACACTTTTCATTTTACACAGAATCATTTCATACTCATCTCGCTTCATTATTAATTATCTTCCAGCATATTCCTCTTCACCCCATATCTATTATTTTAACTAATTTCCAGCATTTTCATATTTAAACTAATTTCCAGTATTTTCTCCTCCACACCTCCGTCTATTATTTTGGCTGATTTGCAGCATATTTCATTCCAGCATATTCTCCTCCATACCTCCAACTATTGTTTGGCTGATTCCCAGCATATTTTGTTTTGGCTGTTTTCCAGCATATTTTCCTCCATACCTCCAACTATTGTTTAGCTGATTCCCAGCATAGTACCTTGTTTTGGCTGTTTTCCAGCATATTCTCCTCCATATCTCCAACTATTGTTTGGCTAATTTTCAACATATTTCACTGTTTCCCAACATATTCTTCCTGGGTGATTCCCAGCATATTTCTAAATATTAACCATTTCCGATATACATTAAACTCAATCTTAATTTACTACTTAAGTCTGTGTATTTTATTTTACCATCCAACAATACATTAAACATTCATATTTAATCATATTTACCATTCTCTGTTTTGTTTACAATTTAACATTGAGACATGTTGCATCTAACATACTTATGTATATTCTCCACATATTCTCCTATAAGGTAATAAATTCTCTTAGGTTTTTCTTGTATTCGTGTATGCTCTTATTCTTCTTTAAAAATATCATTTTTATCCACCTTTGCATTAATTTTCTATTTTAATTACCTTGTTTTATTCTCCATCTTTGTTATTCTATAAGTACCTCCTATTTAAATTCAAAATTCATTTAAACATAACATTTTCATTTTCAATCAATCTGTTTTATATTCTAATTTCACAACCAAGTATATTTTATTTCTTCATTTCCTTATCTGTCCATAGATATTCCATTTCAAATTCAGTATTGCCTAATTTAAAACTCTAAATGTCATTTTAATTCGTTAGTTACTTCTATTCCATGCAAAATCTGCCAGCTTTCCTTCTTTTGTTCCTGCGCCATTTGTCTTCTTTTGTTCCTACGCCAATGCTTCAATTTTTATAGTTCTGCTATATTTCTTCTTTCTTTCCACCAATAAAACCACCCGTAGACTGAATAGGAACCTCCAGAACCAAAAGCCCTTGGTTATTTTCAAAATAATTCAGAATACATGGTAAATCACATTGTTTCTTTTTCAAACAGAAGGTGACTCTCCAGTCAACACTTTCCCTTAGTCACGGCAATCTCCATTTTGTTACAGTTACATAGCCATCCATTTGTCTCTCCTCTTCTAAATTTTAAAGGTGTTGAATCCCTATTTGTCCCTTTTTTCCCCTTTCTCAAAACATCAAGTCAGTTCCAATTTAGAAACATTTCCCCCAGTTTTTCTAGCATGTCTCAATGTTCAATTATTTCAAATGGCCTGTATTAAAATAAATTCCTTAATGGGTCTTTGCCTCCTGTAATTGCTTTACTAATTCTTCTTGCCCCACAAATCCACAGCCGCTGTTTAAGGCTAGGGGTCTTACTTATAAAAGTCTATGCTTTAACGTTGTTTCTCGCTAGGGTTGGTGTCACTCACCTGGCTTCAAAGCACCTCGTTCTTTTCTTCTTTCCTCCTGCACATTTCTTTTTTCGGTTTGTCACGGCTTCGTGTCAGCTGCCATGGCTGCCGCCTCCCGCCACCGACTCACAGAAGGTTCCCTCCGACCTCCGAGGAACTTGCCTGTTCCTCTTGGTCGTCCAAGGAGCCCCTCTTCTTCCCCCATCCCTGCAAGACGTGTTCGGTCCGAAGACCCATCGGCGGCGGTTCGGCAGCCGGGGTTTTCGCGGGACTCATCAGAGCCCGCTATTTTCCCGACTGTCTCGCCGCGATACCAAACCGGAAGTTATTAACTTTGTTGTTAGTTGCGAAGTCATATCCGACGCATCATGACCCCATGGACCACTTTCCTCCAGGCCTTCCTGTCCTCTACCATCCCCGGAGACTATTTAAGCTCACACCGACTGCTTCAGTTACTCCATCCAGCCACCTTATTCTCTGCTGTCCCTTTCTTCTTTTGCCCTCAATCGTTCCCAGCATTAGGCTCTTCTCCAGTGAGTCCTTCCTTCTCATTAGGTGGCCAAAATATTTGAGTTTCATCTTTAGGATCTGGCCTTCTAAAGATCAGTCAGGATTGATCTCCTCTAGGACTGACTGGTTTGATCGCCTTGCAGTCTAAGGGACTTGCAGGAGTCTTCTCCAGCACCATAGTTCAAAGACCTCAATTCTTTGATGCTCAGCCTTCCTTATGGTCCAACTTTCACAACCATACATTGCAACTGGAAAAACCATAGCCTTGACTATACGCACTTTTTTTTGGCAGGGTGATGTCCCTGCTTTTTAGTATGCTGTCTAACTTTGCCATAGCTTTCCTTCCCAGGAGCAAGCGTCTTTTAATTTTTTGGCTGCAGTCCCCATCTGCAGTGATCTTGGAGCCCAGGAAAATAAAATCTGTCACTACCTCCATTTCTTCCCCATCTATTTGCCAGGAATTGAGAGGGCTGGGTGCCATGACCTTAGTTTTCTTAATGTTGAGTTTCAAGCCAACTTTTGCACTCTCCTCCTTCACCCGCATGAAGAGGCTCTTTAGTTCCTCTTCACTTTTTGTCATTAGAGTGGTATCATCTGCATATCTGAGGTTGTTGATATTTCTCCCGGCAGACTTAATTCCAACTTTTGATTCATCTAGCCCCGCCTTTCTCATGATGTGCTCTGCATATAAATTAAATAGGCAGGGCGACAGTATACAGCTGTGCCGGACTCCTTTCCCAATTTTGAACAAATCAGTGGTTCCGGGTCCAGTTCTCACTGTTGCTTCTTGACCTGCATATTGGTTTCTCAAGAGACAAATAAAATGGTTTGGTACTGTCATATCTTTGAGAACTTGCCACAATTTGTTGTGATCCACACAATCAAAGGCTTTAGCATAGTCAATGAAGCAGAAGTAGATGTTTTTCTGGGACTCCCTAGCTTTCTCCATGATCCAGCGTATGTTGGCAATTTGATCTCTAGTTCCTCTGCCTCTTTGAAATCCTGCCTGCGCTTCTGGTAGTTCTCAGTCCACATACTGCTGGAGCCTAGCTTGTAGGATTTTGAGCATAACTTTACTAGCATGTGAAATGAGTGCAATGGTGCTGTAGTTTGAGCATTCTTTGGCATTGCCTTTCTTTGGAATTGGAATGTAAACTGACCTTTTGCAATCCTGTGGCCACTGTTGAGTTTTCCAAATTTGCTGGCATATTGAATGTAGCGCTTTTACTGCATCGTCTTTTAAGATTTTGAATAGCTCAGCTGGAATACTGTCACCTGCACTAGCTTTGCTGTTGCTCAGACTTCCTAAGGCCCATTTGAGTTCACATTCCAGGATGTCTGGCTCGAGGTCACCCCATGGTTATCAGGGATGTTAAGCACTTTCTTGTATAGTTCTTCTGTGTAATTTTTCCCCCTCTTCTTAATCTCTTCTGCTTCTGTTAGGCCCCTGCCATTTTGGTCCTTTATCGTGCCCATCTTTGCATGAAACGTTCCCTTCATTTTCTTGAAGAGATCTCTGGTCCTCCCTATTCTATTATTTTCTTCTATTTCTCTTGTACAAAGGGTAGTGTGCTGCTGTTTGTAGAGTCTGGTTGCTTATTTCCCTCCCTGCCAATACTTCATTTTCCCTCACCGTATCCATTTAATGGCTTCTAACCTAACTCTCCTATGCAACCAAAATACAACTTTGATGACATCTGTTAATGTTTGCTGATTTGGCACCTTGCAAACTGTTTCTGTTTTAACCTACATTAGCTGAAGATCACAACATTTTCATCCATGATAGTTTCTTAAGCTCCCTTTCATTCATGTTGCTCTTGTTCAAATGGTGATGTGCAACTGTACTTCTAGTATCTTATGTTCATTTGGAGTCTGGAGCTTGGATTTAAACATCACTGTTCAAAAAGGACAGTGCTGTAACAAATTGGAGCAAGTTCAGAGGAGGTCTCCCGAGATGATGAAAGATCTGCATGAGGAATGGTTAAAGGTATTAGCCTACAGTAAAGATGACTCAGGGCAGGCAGCAGCCTTGAAACCGCTCCTTGTTGTCCCTTTTGTTCCAAGTTTGCTAATTTCTGGTAGGAGGTCATCATCTTGTTGGAGCTGAGTTTTTTTAGACCCAGGGCAATACAATTCAGAGAACGGGAACCATATGAGTCCCCATTTTGGTAGACCATGGCAGGACCTGGACAGGATCCTTTTCATTCTGAGATCTCAGAAGCTTTTTATAGAGGTGATTGCTTTTTTGGACTGCTGATGAGTTGGAATCTTTCAGTACTTCAGCCAATAGTTGTAGATCCTAACCTTGGAAAAGGTACATGAGAGCTGTTAAGGGAGCCTTGGATGATGGCAGTTTTGAGAAAGAAACTCATCATAATCTCACCTTAGTTTGGTTTAACATAAGAGAGGAAAGGGAGGAATTTGGAAAAGAGGCTTTCAGGGTTCTGCTAATTTTCCTTAGTAAGGATGCCAATCTTGTAGGTGATTTTGAGTTTCCTTACACCTTCCTCAAGATCAGCTCCATGTTCCCTTACTACTCCTGCTCCTTCTAAGGGACAGTTCCAGGAGATGGGTGGACAAGACAGAGCAATAGAACTGGAGGCGGCCTGGGCAGAGGCCTTGAGGAGAGGTGTTCCTTAATCCTCTCCCAACAGACACTCCTAATCAGGGCTCCCAGTCTGGCATTCCGACACAGTCCAGCCGCTGTCGGGCTCAGTGGGACTCCTCTTTGCTCCTCAGGAGTGCCTGTGGTCCCTGGGACAGATGCCCCCATCTCCTCTCTGAGTGAGGCACAGGAGTTCTCGCAGGCGTACGGCTTTCCCATCATCTTCAAGGCTGCTTATGGCGGAGGAGGACGGGGCATGAGAGTTGTGCGCAGCTATGAGGTAAGGCATGTGGCTCGGCATGCGGGGCCTTGAACTTGGGGAAGAAGCTGTGCCCGGGCAAGCTGTGACAGGGGAGCCCATCCAAAGCTAATTGAAGGGTGGTTCTCGGTTGAAAGGATTTGTCAGTGACAAAACTGTTGTCGGGGGACACCAGATTGCCCCCCAAAATGCAATCTTTGAGGAGGGTCCTTTCTTGTCCCCTGGTGGGGCAGAAATGTTGGGGGTCATCCCCAGCTGGGGACAGGAGGGCCTTGGTTGAGGACGGGGTGTCAAGCCGGGGTATCCCCTTTTCTCTGGGCAGGAGCTGGAAGAGAACTACACCCGGGCGTTCTCTGAGGCCCTTTCTGCTTTTGGCAATGGTGCTCTCTTTGTGGAGAAATTCGTGGAGAAGCCAAGACACATCGAAGTCCAGATTTTGGGTATGGAACAAAATAGTTGTGCGTCCTTTCTTTCTCTGGAGGGTAGCAGTGAAAGATGATTTCTTAATCTGAGAAAGATGGATTGAAAAATAAATATTTTATTAGAAGAAATAAAATAGAAAAGAAGATTAATTTTTCTGAAATCAAAAGAAACATAATATGTTTATTATGGTCATTGACTAGAAAAGTAAATAACTTAATTATACCAAGCAACTATTCTGACTACAGAAATACACTGGCGAGATAATCTATGAGTTTAATAATTTGAGTGATTAAGTCGCAGCTTTTGAGAAAAAGAACAGGATGTGGGGTTTGGCAGGGAATTCGTCCTTCGTTACAAACCATTGCCGTGTGCAAGTCAGGAGGGCCCACCCTGCCAAGGAAGCATTTCCAGTGCAGAGAGGCTGCCTGCTTAGCAGAGCTGGCTTGTCCCACCCCAGAGAGGGAGGGAACCTCCGCCTTGGCCCAGCTTCATCTTTGGCCCGGTTTCTCCTTGGCAGGTGACCAGCATGGGAATGTATTGCATCTGTACGAGAGGGACTGTTCCATCCAGCGACGGCACCAGAAAGTGGTGGAAATCGCCCCGGCTGCGCACCTTGACTCTCAGCTGCGCTCTAAACTCACTACTGATGCCGTCCGCCTGGCCAAGCAGGTGAGGGACCACAAGCAGCCCAGCCATTTGGGAAGTGGGGGCCCCGGTGGGGTCAGCGAGTGAGGTCCCCAGCTAGAGGCCACAGTGCCTCTGAGCAAAGATGGGATTCCCCAGTCTTTGTATTGCTCAGCCTGGCCTTTTCGGACAGGGAGCAGGAGATCAGCTTTCCTGGATCAGTTTGGCAAAAGCTGCCCAGAGGCTTGAGATGGTCATGGAAGAATCTCCAAGGCCTGCTCGGACCCAGCTCCTTTTTGTGCAAATTGCTCTCAGCAAGCTGCAGCCCTGCTTTTTTCCTCCTTTCCTCCCCATCTGCCAATATTATTCTGAGCTGCTGGAGGCCAGCTAGAAAAAGAGAAAAATTCCACTTCATAGAATTCAGCTCAGCCTGGATCACAGATTTCTCTTAGAACTTCTTCCTCTAGTGTAACATTCTCTTCAGCCTTGAACGTGGAGTGTTGTCCGTATTCATATATGAAGTTTCTGTATGTGCTACTGAGTTCCACTTACTGTATTCTTTTTGCAGGTTGGATATGAAAATGCTGGCACGGTGGAGTTCTTGTTGGACAAACATGGCAAGCATTACTTCATTGAGGTCAATTCCCGGCTTCAAGTTGAGCACACAGTGACAGAAGAGATCACAGAGTAAGCGGCTTCTCCCCCCCCCCCCCCCGAGGTTTTGTTGTTAACCAGTGTTTAAGATTCTGAGGTGCTTTCTGGAGATCTGGAGTGGCCTGGCTGCCCTTCATTTGGGGGACTCGGAGCAGTCAGGCCCAGTGTAGAAGGTGAAAAGGGAGCAGAAGAAAACATTCTTCTCCTGCTGGTATTTTAAGAAGGAAAAATGAAGATGACAATGGAGGAAGCATTTGCAGACATGCCCTGCAGTACTTATGGCATCTTTTCACCTGAGAACAAGAAGACCTGCCAGGGAGAAGGCCATGATGGTGCCTCCTGAGTGGCCACAGAGCGTTTTAAGAAGGCAGGGGGGAAGGAAATGAAAGGGAACACGGTTTGACTGGAGCTCCAGGCTTTGGGAAGCATGATGGCTTCTAAAAGAAAAGATTATGGAGGTGCCAAACAACTTTCAGTTCAGTGAGGCTAAACAGGTACATCAAATCACCACAGGTGGTATTGGAAGGAAACTCAACTTCTTGTAGTGGGAAACTCTTCCATTTGCACAGAAGGGAACTGGAGAGGCAAAGTAGAAGTCTGTGGATCAAGGCTGGCTTTGTAAGTGGCACCCAGAGCAGCAATTTGGGGTCAAACTTTGAGTAATATGGATGATGGCCTGCTAGCACGAGATGGGCTCCCCCTCACAGAGTTTGGAACAGGAGGACTGTGGTAATTGGTGCATTCAATCTTTATCTGGTGGCATAAGGTTTTGTAGTGGCTTTTAAAGTTAGCTACGTAGCCAATTTTGTTTTTACGCCAAAGAGATTTTTTTTGACAGGCAACAAAGAAGTTAACATGTTGGGGAGATGACTTATACAAGGTTTCTGTGTGTGGAAAATAAGATTTGTTTTAGGAAATTCCCTTGCCAAGAAAGAAACAAGTAGAAAGACGTTTCTGCAGAAGCTGGGGTTTGTGTTCCTGCACTGAGTAGGAGTTCTGAGTGGAATAAGATTTGGACTAAAATACAAAACACGATTCACTAAGCCCCATGTTGAAAATTTAGCTCTCAAATCAAAATTTAACAAAAACTAATGTATAAAATATATGCATAATTTTGAAGAAAAGTCTCCCAACATTTGGAATTTCCACAAGTAATCGCAGTCCGATACAAAGAGGTCTAATTCACAAAATTAGAACATAAAACCATAGAGCTGGAAGGGACCCAGGAGGTCTTCTAGTCCAAGGCAGGAGACCTTACACCATCGTGGACAAATTGATGTCCAGTCGTTTCCCCGTTGATGCAGCCTAGGACTGCATTAACTCTCTTGGCACCTGCTGGCTCCTACTTAAGAGGGGATCTTATAGGGCTCCCAGATCCCTTTCACAGTTAGTCCTGTTGAGCCAGGTGCTGCCTACACTACACCTGTGCTTTTGGTTTTTCCTGCCTAAGTGCTGAATGATCACGTTAGACAAGATACTTCTAAATCGTGAGTCTCTCTTCCAAAGTGTGAACAGTTCTTCCCAGCTTGGTGTTAGTCTGCAATTGTGATGAGTTCCCCTTCTGCCCCTCATCTAGATCCCCGAAGATCCCCACTGACTTCAGAATAAAGATAATCTGAGACCTATTGCAGGCCTTAATTGATAGGTGGTTGGGTTTTTTTTCAACCTGGAATTTTGTACCAGTATTCAGGAATCACAAAAGCGCTAACAACTGAACTCAGAAATTGTTTTGAACATTCGGAGCGCAAAGACTAAATTTAGAAACAGAGATGGTCCAGGATTATCTCATTCTTGAAAACAAATGGGCCAAATATCCATCATGATTCATTGACATCACCCTGCCCAAAGGGTAAATTGGGATTCTTTTCTCTCAGCTTTTCTTCCTAGCAGCTCCGTGTTGGACTTACCTGGGTTTCTTTGGGTGGATTCTGGCCAGGGCTGTCTGGCCAAGGAGGGCAGTGCCAGCCCTGGTTTCTGGGGAATGGCCATTTGAGGAAGGGGTTTCTCTTGTGATGAGGGACCCAAGGCCAAAGAGGTAGCCATGGCTTTTACAGCCCCACACAAATATGAAGCCATTAAAAAAAATCCATCTGTAGTTAGATGCTTTTATATGTGAGAGCAGGAGTCAATTTTATATGTGATATCTGTTATATCAACCTCTGGTTAAAAATAGCTGTGCGCTCAGCAATCCAGCCCCTCTCTGTGAAGGCAGGCCCCCTTTGCCTGTGGGGCTGGTGGGGGTGGGGGGGAGCACGGCTGTTTCCAGGCTGAGGCCCCTTGGAGAAGGGGCATTGGGGGGCTGAGCAGAGAAGGGTGCCCAGGAGCCAGGACCTCTGTGGCCAGCTTCTCACTGACCCAGCTTGGGGGTGATTTGCAGCATGCTAACTCTGCCCCTCTGGGATCGGTTCTTCCAGAGCCAGGTCTCCTAACCTGCAGAAGAGGAGGAAGGGCAAAGGATTGTCCTGTGCATCAAAGGGACAGGCAGAGGATGGAGCAAGAACCCCTGGGTGGACAGGGGAGATCTTGGGTGAGGAATATCTTGGTGGTCATCTCCTAGAAGTAGTGGCAGGAGTGAATGGGGTTGATGGGCCACTGAATCCTTCAGCTCCCACCAGAAAGGAAAAGGAGTCTGTGCTCTGCATAAATGATCTCTTTCCAGTCCAAAACCAGAAGCGAGGATCCATCTGCACAAAAACCAGAGTTTGAATGGTGCCAGTCAGGAGACTCTACTTATTTTAAATGTAGGACAGCTCAAGCAGCCTCAGTCCCCAGCCTTCCACCAGAGTACTCCCAGCTCATGTGTGTGTGTCTGTTTATTTTTAATTTTTTTCTTCAGAAAAAGGTTCCCCCCCTTATGTTGATCCATCCCCCAATAAGCAGCAAGAATCTCCCTATTTATGTAAATTGAAAGAGGGACATATAACTAAAACAGATTACCAGCAAATAGCCTGAATCTACAAGGACAAAGTCAGGAAAGCTAAGCCTCATGATGAATTAAGACTTAAACAAATGCCAAAAATAATTTTAAAAGGTTTCTTTCAGAAACAAGGGGGGAAAAATCAAGGAAACAATTGATCCACGAGGGGGGGGGGGGGGGGAAATTGCAAGGAGGAGATGGGTAGCAGATAGAAAATGGAACAGTTTACCATAATTTTCGGTGTATAAGACGCACCTTTTTACCCCCCAAAAGGGGGTGAAAATCTGGGTGCGTCCTATACGCTGAATGTAGCCCCGCCAACCCGCCAGCCCCCACCCTTCGGCCATTTTCGGCCAGTTCCAGGCGGCAGGGATCTGGGTCGGGGCACAGCCTGAGGAACAACCCTCCCTCTTCGGGACAGTGGGGGGGGGGGAAATCTGCCCAGCAGCTTTGGGGAACAAGGTGGGTGCCACGATTTGCGGCTGGTCACCCCTCTGGCTGCGCTGACTTCACTCCCCAGCAATGTGAGGAGCCACTGCCGCCGCTGCCTAACCCTCTCTGCGCCCAGGAGCCAAGCCGAGTTGAATGGGAGCCCCTAAAGGGAAACGTTCCTCCTTTCCAGCCATCGCTGCCCGGATTCCAAAATGCAAACCTCAAGAGTTGCACTTCAGGTGGCGGCCAGTTCAGCGCGGAACTGTGCAGCGGGGAACTGGGAACTGCTTTGTATTCGGGGAGGAGATTGTAGCGCTGACGCCTAAAAGTGTTTTTCTGCACATTGCAGAGCCGCGCGCCCCTGTCCTCCTTCTCAGCAGACTCTTCTCTTTCCTCCTGGCCAGATCTGCCACCTGAAACACGGTACACTTTTTTTTGTCTCTGCACACACCCCATGTTTGGAATCGGGAAGGGGATCGCGGGTCGAACATTGCAGGGGAACTGGCCGCCACCTGAAGCGCAACTCTTGAGGTTTGCATTGCCAGGACCAGAAGGATTACAGCCCAAGGTTGTGAAGGAGTTGGAAGATATGAAGTTGAAATCACTGAAGAAAATCTTTCAAAACTCCTGGAACGTACCAGAGGACTGGAAAAAAGTTGATGTGGCGCCAATCTACAAAAAGGGGAAAAAAATACAGATCAGTGAGCCTGACCTCAATACCTGGGAAAATCCTGGAAAAGATAATCAAGCAATGCATTTGTGAGCACATAGAAATGAATAAGACAATTATTAGAAGCCAGCATGGGTTTCTCAAAAACAGATCATGCCAGACAAACCTTATTGCTTTTTGTTTTTCGGACAAAGTGACTAAGTTAGTGGATAAGGGAAATGCTGTAGATATAGTTTACTTATGGTAGATTTCAGTAAGACACTAAGTAGACCACAGACTACTTAGATTACCAAGACGATTACTTGATAAGATAGAACTGTGTGGGGTAGACAGTATCACCGTCAGATAGATTCACAATTGACTGTCCAATCACACTCAGTGGGTTGTCCTCGAGGGAACTACATCAGTGGTGGGATTCAGCCAGTACACACCACGTCGGGAGAACCGGTTGTTAACTTTCTGAGCAGTTTGGCAAACTGGTTGTTGGAAGAAATCCTTAGGGCAGAGAACCTGTTGTTAAATTACTTGAATCCCACCACTGAACTACATCTACATGGAGGGAAACATGCAGTGGGGCACCCCAGATTTAGTCTTCAGCCTCTTTAATATCTTCCTAAATGATCTGGATGAGGGGAACAAAGGAGAACTCCTCATATTTGCAGACAACACCAAGCTGGTGGAGAAAGCTAACACTTTAGATGATGGACTCAAGATTCAGAAGGACCTTGACAGATTTGAACCCTCGACCTTATACAACAAAATGCAAGTCGATGGTGACAAAAGTAAGGTCCTACACCGGTAGCACTGCAGGCGCTGGCAGACGTTCCTTTTGGATCGTCAGCACCGCGATCTTGTTAAAACCGCTAAAACAGCACAAATCAGCTGTCTGGTGGTTTGGAAACCTTCCTCTCGGGAGAAGAGAGGAAGGCGAGCAGCCGGATGTAGGTAGAGCTCCCCAAAAGCCCTAGGAACAATTCTGGGGCTTGAAGGGTGAGAGCTCCCTGTTAGCCCGAC